GATATAGATGTTGAACATCCAGGGCTTTCAGAAGGCCATAGAATGAAATTCTTTGGGTAGTTCTAAATCTTGTCTGACATCTCATGTGGGATCACTTACAGTCCAGTACAGCACTCCATTGCATAGCTATAACTTCTTGCTAATCTCTGAGCTCCTCATCATCCTTGACATTCTAGGATGAATTGCCAGATTGGGTTGGATTTAAGGTTCTCTAGAAATAGGCAAGTCTGAGGCAGGAAGGAAACAAACAAACAAAAGAGGCTGCTCTTCCTCCTTTCCTGGAAAAGTACAAAAATGGAAGGGACCCCACCCCTCCAGAATCAGGTCAATCAGTGTCTCCTTGCACCAGGAGGATTCCCAAATAGCTTCCCATTCCCTCAATTCCTGTCCTTTAGTTCTTACACTAACCAGATACTCTGTTATAACTCATATCTAATAGAACCATCCCTAATGATTAGATGTCAAGGGAAGAGGAAGACCTTATATGAAAGAAATCCACAGATAATACAAAATACGTATTTTGACCTGATTCATGATGCTAGTGCTAGGGAGTTGCCTGGTAGTACTGGGAATAGCTAAATAAACCACAGTCTAATTTCATGGGTTGGAGACATATTGACCTCTCTTCTCTCTCTTCTTTAGCTGTGGTGAATTCAGTTGGAGGAAGTTTAGGCAGCGGGGTGAGCTTCGGTGGAACAATGGGCAGCAATGCCCCTGGTTTCTCCAGTGGAGCTGGATCTGGGACCTTGACGAGTTATTCTATCAAAACCACATCTTCTAGCCGGAGGAGCATCCGGAACTGAGCTAAGAAGCCACTGAGGTTTGAGGAAGCAGTAATGGCAAGAAAGAAGAGAGACATATTTCCCTTGACCCTAGTTCACCCTTTGATCTGCCTCCTCTCTCTGGAGCTACAATGAGGAAAGAGATATGGAGAGTCTGGATCTGTAGAGGGTTTCTTCCCCTTGCTCCATTCCCACCCCATAACCCCACCCCCATTTCCCTTCACCACTATATAGCAGATGAGAAAGTGGAGATTAGTGTGTCTTGGGGCCTATGGGGAGCATCTGAAAAAAAAAAACTCTTAATAAAGTTGTTCTGCTCAGGAGCATTTGCTGTCCATGTCCTTTTATTCTGATCTTAAAATGGTGCTAGGACAAGGATGTCAAAGGTCTAGGGGTGGGATGATTGAAAAGTAATGGTGGCATCAATATTGATGTTTTCAGAAGAAGCCAAGAAAGTTGGGTAATATGGAGGAAAATCCAACCTTTGAAGGCTTGTGGCTAATATACATTCCCCATCCCTCCATCCGCTAATCTCAGCCTCCATCCCTAATATTCAGGTCCCAATCCCCCACACTGGAATTCGTTAAATGATTACTAAATACTACCTGTTTGAAGAACACTGAGCTAGTTGCTAGGGGAGATACAAAGATGAATAAACAAACACTCCTTGCTCTCTTGGAGCTTAAGGACTGGTGGAGGATATAACCAATGAGAAGTCAAAGATAGCATCAAGGTTTTAACCCTGATTGACTGTGTGAATGGTGGTGCCACTGGGAAATCAGGAGGAATATTAGGTTTTGAGGAATAAATAATAAATTCAACCTTAGGTATATTTAATTAGAGGTGCTAGACAGATACAGGGAGGCAGATTTCAGCTCAGTAGAAAGGAGACTTATTTAATGTTTAAAACTAATCACAGATGGAACAGACCATCATGAGGGATAATGAGTTTCCCATCATCAGTGGTATGCAAGTGGAACAATCACCTGTCAGGGATATTGTAGATGAAACCTCTCAAGTTCATTCCAATTCTAAAATTGGAATCTATGAAGATGTCCAATAGGCTGTTGAAAATCCAGGTCTAGAGCTTGGTAGACAGGTGAGGGGGAAAAGGAACAAGCATGGGCTTAGTGCTTTACAAATATTATCTCAGGAACATAAGTCTGTGACTCATCCACACATGAATCACCCATTTGCAGGATGACACTTGTGTCATTGAAGGGCACCCTCTGTGGATGAGATCCCAGATCTATTGGAGTACTGTAGTAATTTACATAGATAGCTGAAAACTAGACCTTGGGAAATAAATTATGTTAAGGGATTGTGAAAAGGAAGAGCAGATGGATGAAGGAGAAAGAGAAATGGCTAGAGGCAGGAAGAGAACCCAGAAAGTGTGGGAATGAGAATTCTGAAAAGAGAAAAATAGTGTCAAATATTGCTGAAATGTTAGAGAAGACGGTGATAGTTTTTTTTTTTTATCAGTACATTGGATTTAGCAAGAAAGTGATCACTGATATTTTTGAGAGATCATTGAGGAGCTCTGTGCTCTAGCTCATACCTTAGAAGGTAGGGTGAAAGGACTTTGGGTGTTTAGTTTGAAGAGCCTTGGGAAACATGGCAATAATTGTTTTGGGGTATTTGAAGGTTTTTCAAGTAGAAGGAGAGCAGATTGTTCTGCCTAGCCCAGGGGGACAGAACCAGGAGCAATGGGTGAGCTCAATGCGAGGGAAACTTCTTTAAAAATAATAGGTGTCAGGGCAGCTAGGTGGTGCAGTGGATAGAGCACTGGCCCTGAAGTCAGGAGGACCTGAGTTCAAATTCAGGCTGAGACCAAACACTTGACACTTACTAGCTGTGTGACCCTGGGCAAGTCACTTAACCCCAATTGCCTAAAAAAAAAATGTTAGTTGTCTTCATTCAGAATGGACTACTTCATGAAGTTGTGGAATACCTCTTACTGGAGGTGAGCAAAGGCTAAGTGATCTCTAGTTGGAGTGGGACCATACTCTCCAAATCCATTTGATCTTAAATTGGAGGCTTAATCCTTGGTAACAGGTTATTGGATAGGAGGCAGGGTTCAGACCTTTATGGGTCTGCTCAACAGAAAGTGAGGTAGTGATCATGGCTGGAGACCCAACTTAGGTTAGAATAAACCTCCATGAAGGTGGAAGGTTTTAGGAGAGCTACCACATGGGGAATAGTCTGGGTAAATGTGGGAGCAAGACCAGCAAATGTGTCCCAATCCTAACCATGAACCAGCCTGATATATTTGCTGGCTTTGGTGAGATTTGTTCTATTTCAGGCTGATGTTTAGTCAGCTCAGTTCATTATGGCAGGAGAAACCTATGGGAAGCTTCTCAATTTGCCCAAACCCTCCTGTACTGTTAACATTAAACAGGTTTGCATTCCTGGGGGCATTGCTGAGATTTCTATCCCTACACAAATATCAACTTTAACAGAGTGCACAGAGAGAGTCCTGAGTCCATTGGTGCCAGCACTTAACCTTTGCTTCAGTTTCCTCTTCTGTAAAATGAGGGCAATAATAAGGTTATTGTGAGGCTCAAATGAAATAAAATTATAAAGCACTTAGCACCGTGCCTGGGACATAGGTAGTACTAGGTAAATAAATGTTAGCTATGATGATGATGATGATGAGGAGGAGACTGAAGTAAGTAGTGTGGTGTTCTGGTTCCTGGCTAGAGAAGGCAAGATACTAACCTATTAATGTTTTGGGAAGCCAGGAATAGAGTCTTAGATTCCAGTGGGCTGGAGATGGATTGAAAGGGAGGGCCATGGGAGGAGGCTGCAGGAAGGGACATGGAAGACTAGAACCCTGGATGGAGATTTGAGACCCATGGGTTCTTATTCCAGCCACATCCTTCATTCTTTGTGACCTTCAGCAAGTCACTTTTAACCGTTTTGAACCCCTGAGTCAGAGCCATAGTCTTTGACTGTGAGACGGTGTTGGTTGGTGACATTCCCATGGTCCCAGGTCCCTTTTCCCTCACAGGAAGCAGATACAAGACCCAGCCCCTCACCTTCCTAGATGTCACAAACCCATGTGTTCTCCTCTAGCTATGGTAGGTATTGCTGGTAGGTATGTTGTAATGTTATGAAATATTGTTTCTCTTCTGCCACCACCATCTCTTCCAAATCTGACTGCCCAGTTTTTTCACTCCATGGCTATATGGCTTTGGGCATCATTTTATTTCTGAGGCTCAGTTTATTCATCTATAAAATGGGGTGGTTGGGTGAGCTTTGATCTCTAAAGTCCCTTCCAGCTCTAATATTCTCATAGTTGAGGATTTTTTTCTGACTTGGAATCTGCTATGATGAAGCAAGTGTTCCCATTCTCTGCTCATGGGCTGTTCCTTCTACCTGGATCATTCTTCCCAACCTCTTCTCTTCAGCCCTATTTTTCTTCAGTTTCTGAACCCCATTCTCCCCCTTACACTCTAGGTTATGTTTCCTATTATCTTCCCTATCCATCAGCACTGGTGCCTAGACTTATGGCCCCCCTACTACTCCTGGGTCTCTTACTCCTTGCTGTACAGGTATCTGTGTAACTTTGTAATACTTCTGTAGTTCTTTTTCAACCTCTGTAAAATAAAGAGGTTAGGCTGGGAGGGAACTAGGCATTTCTATAGCACCTACTATGTGCCAAGCACTGTACCCTCATTTGATCCTTGCAACAACTGAGGCAAACAGAGGTTAAGTAACTTGCCTAGAGTCACACAGCTAGTAAATAGCTGAAGTGGATTTGAACTCCAGACCCAGCACTTTGTCCACCGAATCATCAGCTGGTTGCCTCTGAGATCCTTTTCAGCCCTGACATCCTGTAATTTGGCATCCCTGTGTCCTGGCTGTGTGTCCTCATCAGATTAAGAGTTCCTAAGAACAGGGACTCTGTACACTCCTCCTTCCATTGTCCAGGACTGGACTTTGTCCATATTGGCAGACTCAGATAAGGCAGGAGGTCTTATCTGAGTGTATGTGTATTGATAAGGAGCTGGCATAATCCAAACATTTCCTTGGGGACGATCATGGCTAAAAGATGTTTGGGTGACTGGTTGGGCTAGGGTGGAGAGGGCATGGCGTGTATGGGTGTACTGTCTTGAAGCAAATCTCTCTAAGTCACTCTCTCAGAATAAATCACAAGATTGCCAGAGTGCAAGGAATATCAATTTATTGGAAACTCAGTAATCAAGCCCAGAGGAAAGGGAGAGAGAGAGAGTACAGGCAGGGGCCAGCCGGCCTAGTGTATCTGGTGTAGAGTAGGGATGAACCTGGTCCTGGCTTGGGGAGAGCACCCCTTCAAGACATAGAGATACGGGACGAGAGAAGTCAGGCGCCGGCTAGAGACAGCTTCTCAGAAAACACAGCCGCAAAATTGGAAACTCCTCTTCTTTTTTCTCTCTCCATTCTGTCCCATCTCCCGCCACCCCCGTTCCCCAGTGGACATCCTCGGGTCTCCCAATAATTCTGCCTCTAATCCCGAAGGTTAGGTTCTGTGTCTGTCCGTTCTTGTCTTCGAAAGCGGTGGCTATACCTTCTGATTCCCGGGGGGCGAAGAAGGGGTTATTTACAGCTGAAACTTGGGGCATCTAGGCAAATCGGACCGAACGGCTGCTACCGCGGCTGAAACTTTGGCCGCAGGGCACACAGGGACCCCCGGTGCTCACCACCACGTTCCCGCTACATGGGGCGCTGCAGACGCTTGCTGTCACTGGACGCGAGCCTGACACACAAAGGTCTCCGCAGACGACCCCGCCCCGGGAGCTGCTCACACCTGTGGGGCAGGAGGAGAGTGGAAGGCAGATTATCTCTCTGGGGGATCGCTGAGTCCCACCCCACAACCTGAGTCAGGGGACAGAAAACCCTCTAAACGCAAGTGTCTCCCACTGGTCCAGATCCAAGAGAAAGGAATAGATACTTCTGGGTCCCACCTGCATAGCTGAGGAATACTTTAAAAAAAGTCTAACCCTCCAGCTGCAATCACTCCTGCTGCAAACAGGGATCATTTGATTTTAGATTTAGAGCTGGAAGAGATCTTTGAGGTCATCTAGTCCAACCCCATTTTACTGATGAAAAAACTGTGACCTGACTGGCCTAAGGTTGCACAGGTAAGTGATAGCTGAGTTACTAATATAGATCTTCTGGAGTTTCTTGGAGTATTTTAAGGTCCACGAATCCCTTTCTTCTAACAACCCTATGGGGCAGGGGGTACAACATTATTAGCCTCATCTTGCAGATGAGGAAACAGGTTGAGAGAAGTGACATGACTTGACCAAGGTCACCCTAGAAAGTGTGCCAGGCTTGCAACCCCAATGTCAGAGACTGTTAAAAGATGAGATAGGATCTAGTTTCAGGTCATCTTATTGAAGTGATTATTATTATTATTGAGTGATTAGCATCCCAGAATACCATCATTTCCATCAGCCTATTTCCTCTTGTCTAACTTAACTTTTTTCAGGACCTCAATTACTTACAGACATTCACAGCTCCAACACCTTCACACAACCTGGGGGAAAGGAGAATGAAACACCATTAGATGGGAAGTGAGTGAGATATATCTTTTATGAAAAATATTTGGCCCCAAATGCCAATCATATCTCCTTTCCAAAGGCTCCAATGAAAGTTTTGTGCAAATAGATGCAAATTAAAGTAAATGTGATCATGGTAATACTCAGTATGGATGGAGAATGGAGAATAGAGCATCATTGAACAGAAAGGGTAGGCCTAGACCTAAGGAACAAGGCCTGATTCCAGGGATTCACCTTTGCTCTTCACCCTCCAGCAGCCGTTTGTAGGTGGCGATCTCGATGTCCAGCCCCAGCTTAGAGTTCATGACCTCCTGGTACTCCTTCAGCAGACAAGCCATGTCCTGCTTGGCCTTCTGCAGAGCCTCCTCCAGCCCTGCCAGCTTGCAGCGGGCATCATTGAGGGCAGTCTCACCCTGCTGCTCAGACTGGGTCACAGCGGCCTCCAGCTTGGAATTCTGGGGGAACACAAGAATCAGGGGAAGAGATAGTGGGTTGTCAAATTGCCCTGGAATTACGGACTCCCCAACAGAGGCAAATCTAATTATTCTTCTATCTTTGTGCAAAACTCTACCCTTCTCTTCCTTTCTTCTCCTCCCCCTCACCCACATGCACATCAACTAGATTAGAAAGACTAATCTTCTCTTCGGGAGAAGGTCCCACAGCATCCTTCTATCATTTTTCTTGGTGTATCGCCAGATGAGCTGGTTGGGAAGTTCTCCTTGGTATCCAAACAGAATTCTTCCTGCTACAGTTTAACTGAATTCTTTACTTTTGGAGAGTGGTCAGTGTCAATACCTGACACTTGGCATTCTCCACCTCGGCGGTCAGCCTCTGGATCATACGGTTCAGCTCATTGATCTCCTCCTTGGTCCTGCGCAGACTTTCCCCATGGCGGATCACTGTGGCCTTCATCTCCTCACACTGTAAGGGGGGAGAGAGGGTGGTATCCAATACTCACACACAGGCACATGAGGAACCATCTCATCTGTTCCCTGTCCTCACTAGGGAAGAAGACTCCATAACTTCCCAGGGAGGAGTAGCTCCAGATAAAGGGAAAATCCTTCACCATCCTTCCGACCACTGCTAGACAATCCTACCATACCTCTCAAGTCACTCTTACTCTCCACAACAGCTCTTCTAAATCTTTTCATTTCTTCTCAAGTTTCCTATGGCTCCCTCTTCCTACATACTCCTGGATGAGAACCTTGCCTTGTATTTTACAGAAAAAAAGTCCATTCACCACAAGCACCCTCCTCTCCCCTCTTCCTCATCTCCTATTACTCATATACCATCTGCCATCATCTCCTCCTTCACCCCTGTCTCATATGATGAAGCAGCCTTACTCCTCACCAAGGGCAACTCCTCTACCTGCGGATCACCAAGTGATCCCATTCCTTCCTGTCTTCCCCAACAGATGGCCCCATCTGTCACTCCACTCTGTCACTTATTTTTATCTTTCTGTTTCCTTACTGTCTACAAGAATGCCCACGTTTTCCTCATCCTCAAAGAACCCTCACCTGATTCTCCATTCTTGCTAATTATCTTCCTATATACCTTCTGCTCTTTGTGAGTCAACTTGAAAAGGTCATCTATCTGCAATAGGTGTCTCTGTCATGTCTCATCTCGTTTTCTTCTTAACCCCTTATAATCCCTCTCCTGACCTCATCATTTCATCAAAACTACTCTTTCCAAAGTGACCAGTGATCTTTTAATTGACAAATTCAACGACTGTTTCTCAATTCTCCTTCTCTAAGACCTTTCTTCAGCCTTTGACACTGTAGATTATTCTCTCCTTGACACTCTCTTCTCTGTAGGTTTTTGGGACACTGTCTCCTGGTTCTCCTCCAACTATCTGACTGCTCCTTCTCAATTTCCTTTGCTGGATCATCCCCCAGGTCATGCCTTCTGACCATAGGTGTCCCAGAGGGCTCTGTCCTGGGCCCTCTCCCTTCACTTGGTGATCTCCTTAGCAACCATGGATTTAGCTCCCATCTCTAGAAGGCCACACATGGCATCCAGGGCTCAGCATCATATAATGCTAATCTCTCTGCAATCTCCAGTCTTGCATCTCCACCTGCCTTTAAGACACCTTGAACTGGATGTCTAGTAAACATCTTAAGCCAAACATGTCCAAAACAGATCTCACTGTCTTTCCTAAATCCTCCCCGCTGTGTAACTTGCCTATTAATGTAGAGGACAATACCATTTTCCCAACCCCTCAGGCTTGCAATCTAAGTGCTATCTTCAACTCCCTCACTATATCCCACCTCCAATATCCAATCTGTTGCCAAGGCCTCTCAATTTCACCTCTGTAACATTTCTCAAATATATCCCCTTCTCTCCTCTGACATTGCCACCACTTTGGTGCAAATCTCATCACCTCATGTCTGACCTGTTGCAACAGCCTGCTGGTGGGTCCGCCTGTCTCAAGTTTTTCCCCACTCCAAATCTATCTTCCATTTAGCCACTTAAGTGATTTTCATAAAGTGTAGGTCTGACCATGTCATGGCCCCTACTCAAAAAACTCCAGTGGCTCTTTATTGCCTCTAGGAGCAAATAGAAAATCCTGGTTTGGCATATAACGCCATTTATAACCTAGCCCCCTCCTACCTTTCCAGTCTTCTTTCACCTTACTACCTTCCATGTACTCTTCAATCCAGTGACCTTGGCCTCCTGACTGTTCCATGAACAAGGCATTCTGACTCTCTGCTCCAGGCATTTTCTCTGGCTGTCCCTAATGTCTGGCATGCTCTTCCTCCTCACCTCTGCCTACTGCCTTCCCTGGCTTCCTTTAAGTCTTAACTAAAATAAAATCATCTACAAGAAGCCTTTCCCAACCCCTCTTAATTCGAGTTCCTTCTTATTTCATTTTGATCATCATAATTTTATTTTTATAATTCTATCACAATATGTAAATTTATATATTTGATTTCATATAATATGTTATATTTAATATACTTATATTTATAAATTTATATATTTAATTATATAATTATATTACATATAATATATTATAATTTTATCATAATGTCTTATAGATCTTGTTTGTACATATTTATTTTCTTGTTGCCTTACCCATGAGATTGTGAGCTCCTTGAGGGCAAGAACTATCTTTTGCTTCTTTTTTGTATTCCCAAGGCATATGGTGCCTGGCATAGATAGTTACGTGTCACAGTAGATAGAGCATGGGGCCTTGAGTCAGGAAGACCTGAGTTCAAATCTGGCCTCAGACTCTTACCAGCTGTGTGACCCTGGGCAAGTCAATTAATTCTGTTTGCTTCAGTTTCCTCATCTATACAACGAGGATAATAATAGCACCTACCTCCCAGAGTTGTGAGAGAATAACTATGAAGTACTTAGCACAGTGTCTGGCACATAGTAAGTGCCATATGAATGTTGGCTATTGAAATAACAACAATAAAAATAATAAATGTTTTACTGACTAAACGCTATTTCTGGTAAGTGAGAGAGTCAGGCTCGTTCACCTTGCTACGGTACCAGGACTCTGCCTCAGCCCTGCTGCAGCTGGCGATGTCATCGTACTGAGCCTTGATCTCGGCAATGACACAGTCCATGTTGAGTTCTCGGCTGTTGTCCATCTTCACCACGACCGAGGTGTCTGAGATGTGGGTGTGGAGGACTCTGATCTCCTGAGGGGGAGGATCACCAAAAGCTTATTCAGAATAGACTCTCACCTCTCTAAAACTGCCTGTCAAATCCTCCTTCTCCTCTCCTTTAATATAACTCCTCTGTTGCCCACATCCTCAGAATCCCTCTACCCAGACACACAATCCCACAGAAACCCACAAAGAGTGGAAAAGGTTACCAGGGTCATTTCATTTCTGTTATGTCTACTGCTGATGTCCAACAGACCTATAAATTTCTTACAAAATATCCTGCCCAAGCATTTTAGGCAACAGTAGACCTGTTGCCTAGTTTCTATCTGACCCACAAATTCTACAGAAATTTCTTATCTATTTCTATTTATCATCCTTCCTTATTCTTTTGGGTACTGGACTTGTGCCAGAGCCTAATTCCTTGGCAGGTTACTGGTGTTTATAACCATCTCCATAGTAATAGTGAACAACATGGGTTACCATGATAAAGCAGGATGATAAAGCAGGATGACCTCAAGTCACCAAGGCATAGGATTTTTCTGCTCCCTGAGTTCCCATTGGAAATAGCTCTTCCTGGTGCATCTCCTGATTCCTCCCCTACCCCATGACCCCTTTAGCCACTTCTGCTCGGTTGTTTCCATAGCTCAGAAAGTAGGAAGTTCTTTCTATCATCCCACCCTCATGCCTCCTCCTGGACCACAGTGCTTCTCACCTCCTCATATAGAGCCCTTAGGAATTGAATCTCTTCTGTTAGGGCCTCAGCATTGGCTTCCAGGTCTGATTTTCGGAGATAGGCAAAATCTACATCCTGTAGAGGAGAAAGGGAGATTTAGGGACCTTGAGGCAGATACTCCTTCTCTATCCTTCCCTTCAAAAGTGACTTCACTGCCAGCCTCTCTTAATCTCAGTTTTCACATCTGTAAAATGGGGATAATAATATACTGCCTATCTCAAGAATGTTGTGAGGAAATCAATTCAATTATAAAATAACACCTAAATATGAGTGATGTTGATGATAAGGATGAGGATGCCACTAGGTGGTGCAGTGGTCAGAGTGCTGAGACTGGAATCAGGAAGACTCATCTCCCAGAGTTCAAATCTGGCTTCAGATACTTACTAGCTATGTGACCCTGGGCAAGTCTATTTGCCTCAGTTTCCTCATCTATAAAATGATCTGAAGAAGGAAATGGTTAACCACTTCAGTATCTTTGCCAAGAAAAGCCCAAATGAGGTAATGAAGAGTCAGACATCATTGAAATGACTGAACAACAGCAATAAAATTATTATTATTATTATTATTTTTCCTACTTTTTTCTTTTGGCTAAGGCTAGACATGTATGTTTAGCAAATTTTTATGATACCCTGTCACTGGGAGGGGCATTTGGAGACAGGAAGGATTTCTAAGAATTAGTGACATTTTGGATGATGATACAAGGGATGCCAGGTCTAGAAGGAGCCTGGACTAGGGTCAGGCAAGGTCAGTAGCTACTTTGGGTAGGCTATTCAAGAAGCACAATGATGAACTTTTTCCAAACGCACACGACTTGGGTCCTAGATAATCAGTGACACTCATAGGTAGTATTCTTCAGGAGCATCAGTTGTAGACTTAGAAGACCTGTGTTCAAGTGCTAAATTTGCTACTGAATGGCCGTGTGATCTTGGTCAAGTCACTTCTCCTCCTATGGGTCTGAATTTCTTTACACAAAAAATGAGAAGTGTTAGACTAGCCATCATGTTCCCTTCCAGCTCTGAATCTGTGCTCCTTTGACCTTAGGCTATCAATTGGATAGGGCAGAGAGTATAGGCACCATTAAGTGTCACTGTGATGGCTGAGGGGCATAGAGAGAACAGTGTTGAGGGTCTGGGGTTATCTTCTAATCTTACTATGTACTACATGAAAAGGGAGTGTGTTGTTTAACTGTTTAATAAATGTTTAACTGACTAAACACTATTTCTGGTAAGTGAGAGAGTCAGGCTCATTCACCTTGCTACATGAATGTGCAAGGTCTACCATGGAGGAGACGATTAGGGCATTTGAAAAAAGGATACTATGATGATTGGGTTCCAACCTGTTGGTGTGCTATGTGATGTTGGCAAAAGTCATTCAACCTCCTTCCGGGTCTCAGGCTTCCAATATCTTTCATAGGAGGGTTGAACCCTCTCCTATTTCTAGTCTAGGATATCCTGGACCTGAGCACTCACCTTCTTTAGGATCACAAACTCATTCTCTGCTGTTGCTCTCAGGGCCACCTCCTCTTCATATCTAGGGGAGAAAAGAGGGTTTCAGTTTCTGGGATCCTTAGAGTTCCGAGTTTGTGGAGGAGCAGAAAGAGAGAGGAATGAAGGAAGGGATGGAGGAAAGAAGGAAGAAAGGAAAGAAGAGAAGAAGGAAGGAAGGGAGGGAAGGAGGGAGGAATGAAAAAGGAAGAAGGAAGGAAAGAAGGGAGGGAGGGAGGAGGAAAGGAAGGAAGAAAAAAGAAAGAAAGAAAGAAAGGAAGGAAGGAAGGAAGAAAGAAAAAGAATAAGAAAGAAAGAAAGAAAGGAGAGGCAGGGAGAGATAGAGGAAGGAAGAAAGGAAGAAAAAATGAATTTGGATGAGGTTTAAATTTTACTCCCAGAAGGCTGCCTTTGGAGGATCTTAGATATCTTGGAATCAAATAGCTTATGGAATTAAAATACTCTTGGGCTGTGAAAGGAATTTGAAGAGGTGATTTTGCCCAACCCTCTACTTCTGTGCTCCAGAGTATTCAAACCAGCTCCCAAGAGAAGTCTTTCCTAAAAAAGACAAAAAACAAAACAAAACAAAACAAAACAGTCTAGGAGTCATCATTACTCCCCATCTGCTAGAATATTTTAACACTTCCTGTGGGAGGAATTCTTAGCGTCTTTCTCACTCGAAGTCTTTCTGCTGCAGTGCCAGGTTGCATCTTCCTGCTCTCAGGAGACACTTGCCTGATATAAAGCTAGAATTTGTTTTATCTCCTCCAACTAGACTATAAATCTGTGGAGGGCAGGCAGGGTCATGTTTAATCCTTCTATATTCTATACAAGTACCAACCACAGTGGAAAGTACACACACATACATACACACATACTACATATATGTATATATATATTTATATGTTCTCAATAAATGTTTTTGTTAGTCTTTATTTTTTTGTTTCAGCATATGGGGCTAGAAATATTTCTCCTAGTATTTAGCAGATTAGGAAATTGAAGTTCAGATAGTGAAGCAGCTTACTTTTCCCCACTGATATTGACATTTTCTTCTTCTTGCCCCACTGCTTGAAGATGATACAATGGAAAGGAAATATTGCCTAAATCAAGAATTTGCCTACGGTCTACCAATCAGAAAATGCTAGGGGTCTTGAGATGGCAAGCTATCAGTGTTCCCATCTCCATTTAGGAGCCAGAACTAAACACCTTTAATAGAACCCAGAGAGGTGAGAACTGTTCCGGTGATTACCTCCCCTCCCTACCTAACTCCCTAACACCAGAGAAGCCACTCCACAAACCTCCCCATCCCCCTGTGCCTATATGTCTATCTAACAATTTTCACCTTCTGGAAGTTCTTTTTGTTGTCTGACTCAAATCCTTCTGATGGGATTTAAATCCATTTCCTGGTACTCTTTCCTCAAACACTCACTTTTTCTTGTAGCCCTCCAGCACCTCCTGCACGTGGTTGAGCTCAGCTGCCAGGCGACCACTGTCAGCCTCCACGTACTCCAGCTCCCGCCTCAGGGTCTCGATGTAGCCCTGGAACAGGGGCTCCAAGTTGCTCTCGCAGCATTTCCGGCTCTGGTAGAATTGCCACTTGGTCTCCAGAAGCTTGTTCTGCTGCTCCAGGAAGCGGACCTGCCATCCCAGGGAAGAGGGAAAGTCATCAGGGACATTCAGAGGGAGAGGATACCTCAGCACCCCTTGGAAAGCATGGAAACATGGATCAAAATCATAGCAAATGTCTGCCTGGGGCATGGATGAGAAGACTTCTCATGGGAATGCTATCGCTCCTATCCTTCAGCCTTAGGATGGAGGCTTGATCTTCGATTTCATTGTTACTGGGTAAGGATCCCCCCTCCCTCATCTCCAATGCAGATCTTTAGCATCTTCAAGCCCTAGAGAAATGCCTAGAGAGCAGAGAGAAGTGACTTGAACCCAGGTCTTCCTGGCCAAGAGCCTAGCTCTCTATCCATTATACCACAACGTCTCTTAGTATGAGAATTCTATAGAGAAAAGCGCATTGTCTAAGGACAATTTGATTGGAAGAGACCTGGCAAATATTTCAAGATATGAGGTCGTAAGCATCTTAAGAATTTTTGGGATAGTAGAAAGAGAACTCATCTGGATTCTAGCTCTGGTTCTGCCATCTGTTTGCCCCATGAGTCCCTTTCCCTCTCTGGCCTCAGAGGTGACTGGACTAGAAGCAATGAGGTGGTTGGACTAGAAGCAATGAGTAGAAGTTGCCGGGAGGCAATCGGGTCTGTGCAAATGTGGAAGGGTTTGCCTTAGGAGACAGGGTATTTCTCCTCACTGGAGGTCTTCAGGCGAAAGCTGGATAAACTATTTGTCAGGGTACTGTGGGGCAGGGGGATTCCTGTGCAGGTCTGAGTTAGGCAAGATGACCTCTAAAGTCCTCTTTTCTCTGTGACTAGATGATCCCTAGTAACCCTTCCAATTTTGACACTGTGTGAAAATAGTGGAGGGGGGTTAGTAAAGAGAAAATACATTCAAAGTAATTTTGGAGGATGTGGGGAAAGCACTAATTTGGGGGGTGAGGCAGAACTAGGAAAAGACCAGCTTAAGAATTGGTGTTAAGGGGCAGCTAGGTGGCGCACTGGATAGAGCACGAGCCCTGAAGTCAGGAGGACCTGAGTTCAAATTTGGCCTCAGACCAAACAGTTGATACTCACTAGCTGTGTGACCCTGGGCAAGTCACTTAACCTCGACTACCTCACAAAAAAAAAAAAGAAAATAGTGGAGAGGGTAGCTTGGTTGCACAGGTTGTCCTCCATGCCTGGAATGCTCTCTCTCCTCACCTCTTAAAGTCCCTAGCTTCTTTCAGGGCCCAGTTTAACACCAATTCTTCTTTTTTTTTTTAAGGCCCAGGGTCACACAGCTAAGCAGATCTTTTCCTAGTTCCGCCCCACCCTCCAAATTAGTGCTTTCCCCACGTCCTCCAAAATTACTTTGAATATATTTTCTCTTTACTTATCTGTTCACATGTTGTTTCTTCTCAATAGAAGGTAAGCTCCTTGAGGGCAGACTATTACATTTTTGCCTTTGGATCCCCATTGTCTTGGCATAGAGTAAGTGCTTGCTGAATTGAATTGAGATGGAGCTCATTGCCTAGGCTTCTCTAGCTACTCTCCACCCCCTCTTTGGTGCTGGACTTCTGGAAGCTCCCAGATTGATAAGGGAATTAGCAGAGGGGTCTTACTACTCAACAAAAGGAAGAGATACATTTTATCTCCACCTCCCCAAACACTCATTCCTACTCTCCAGGCAAATGAGAGGCAGATGTTCTCCCACTAAGGAAAGAGCTGTTATCCAAACGTCTTCCTCCCCTCTACTGCCAGGAGTTCTCTCTCCTCAGAAAATAATATCATCTTATATTTGTACAGCCTTTACACTTTCTGAAGTCCTTTCACATTTGTTATTTTATCTTCATGAGTTTCCATGAAGGAGAAAGTTTGGAGAGTTATTATTGTCCTCATTTTACTGAGGGTAAAATTTTACCCAATTTAAATTAAATTTATCCAAATTAAATTAAAATAAAAAAATTACCCAATTTAAAAATTTAGGGTTAGGGTTACGGTTTACTGAAGCTTAGAGCAGTGAAGTTACTCCAGTGTTACACAGCTAGCACTTGTTGGAGCTGGGACTGGAACCCAGGTCTTCCGAATCGAATGCCCTTTCTTCATGGGGATTTGCTACTGAAATATACAATACTAACATTTACATATTGAAACATGTTCCTGCAGGACCCTGGCAAGTAGCCTTTATACTATCTTGGCTGATCTATCCATTGCCTCCATGAAGTTTCATTTATGTTTATCAAAGACCACTAAATCTGGAAGGGACCACAAAGATCATCTAGTCCAGATCTTCCATTTGGCGCCTTAAATGGGATCTAGTGCAACCCCTCATTTTATGAAGGGGAAAACAGAGGCTCATAGGGGACTTGTCCAAGTTCTTCCTGCCCTAAGAGAAATTGTCTGGCCCCGGTTCACCTTGTCGATGAAGGCGGCGAATTTGCTGTTGAGGCACTTGATCTGTTCCTTCTCCTCATGCTTCACGCACTGGGCATTGGGGTCGATCTCCAGGTTGAGGGGGGTCAGGAGGCTCTCGTTGACAGACACGGTGGTGATGCAGGGGGTGCTGGGCCCGCACACTCCCCCAGAGCGGTAGCCAAAGCTCCGGCCGCAGGAGCCAGCCCTGTAGCCCGTACAGACGCTGCGGCTGCCAAAGCCGGTCAGTCCCCTGTAGCAGGACACTCCTCGGTAGGGAGTTACGCTGATGCAGCAGCGGTCACCCAACCTAGGCACGAAGGCTGAGCAGGAGCTAAAGTTCCGGATTCTGCTGCTGGAGCTGGGGCGGAAAGAATGGCAGGACATGATGCTGCTGGAGAAGGGAGACGAGGTCAAGAGTGGAAGTGGCACCAGGTTATCTGTGCGAATCTGATGCCATCCCTTTTCTTATATTCCCCAGCCTAATGGGGTTGGGCAGCATAAAAAGACGTAGGAAGCATTTATGAGCTTGAACTCCTTGTATCATACACTCCTTGTATAGTAAGTATTTTCAGTGAGCTTCTGCTGGGGACTCCCCCCCACCTCCACCCCCAGAAATGAGGAAAGATATCAAAGCTGGGTTAGCCTGTCTATCAGCCCCTATAAAATAGCATCCTTCTCCTGCCCAACTGTTTTATGGAGTAGGGGAATAGACTGAAAATTAAAAAACAATTTTTGCCCTGGTGCTCCTAATTGGGCTATGGGAAGTCAGGCCTTTCTCTCTCTGTATGGCTTTAGGGCAAGCAGCCAGAAGATGGATGCTAGGCGAGGTTCACAGTGGATGGGGCTTCTAGAATTTCTGAGGTGATGAAATTTGGATGAGGCATGAGTCATCCTGACTCCTTCTTATACATCTCACACTTCCTTTCCTAACTCAGATCCACTCCCCTTCTCTGTCCAGGAGGCTTTCTCTGATCAATCCCATCTATCCCTAAAAGATGACCCTTTAAATAAATTTCCTTCTGGCATTTTTCTGTGCTCCATTTGCAAAGGCTTTGTCTCATTCATTTCATTCTGTATTAAGTTTAGCTCATTTTTAGTAGGGTGGAAGAGAACTATTTCTTCCTAAGGGTAAAAAAAAATTTATCATTTTTTCCCCTCAGAATTCAATCAAGTCATTCTTTCTTTAACAAACCATACTAAGCGTTTACTATGTACATTGTACTGATTTAGATGCTAGGGGAGATGGTTACAAATGCCTTGCCCTGGTTGCCTTCCTGGTCTACTTTCCCTTTTCCCAGGCCCCACAGGACTGAAATGAGGTGTTCAGTTTGGATGGTTCCTGTTTCTGTGCCTTTGGTTTGTGTCTATTTTTCCCACAAGATTGGAGGCTCCCTGAGGATAGGTAACTTATAGACATAAAATTGGAGGTGGGAGGGATCTTGAGGATCATTTTAACTAAACCCCAATTTTACAGGTGAAGAAAACTGGGGCCTAAAGAGGAAAAATTACTTACCCAAGGTCTTACCAATTTATTTTTAGAATTAATTTATTTTAAACTTAAATACTAAAACTTAAATATACAATAAGAAAAGAAAAAAGAAGCATATTATAAACTTAGATACTAAAACTTAAATGCAAAATAAGAAAAGAAAAAAAAGCATTGCCATGTGCAACACAGAACGAAAGAGAGGATTCAAAATATACAGTAACAAATTTTCATTTTAGAAAAACCATTGTGTTCTGAGCTGTCCTCTTTTCTTTGCTTCTTTGTAAGTTTTCTTTTGTTTTCTGCTATGCATTTTTTACTTTGTTCTTTTTTCTCCCTTCCTCTTACACCCCCGCCCCCACCAGAAGGCTACAATTGAGCATGGCTATATTTGTGTGTAAATATACACTCACACACATACACACAAACATATATACATAAATTTGCATGCACATACATATGCTTAGATATCTATAATCATGCTCATATATAGATATATATACATCCATATGCATCTATATAAGACTGTACTATACTTGTTTGTCCTCTGTTTTTCTGAAGGTGGATAATGTCTTCCTTCATAGGTTCAAATCTTTCCCTATTTTTCTAAGTCCGCCAACTCATTGTTTCCTATACCACAGCAATATTCCAACCTTATACTGTCTAGTTATTTTAAATAGTCTAAAACAGTAGTGATTAATGACTGACATATAGTGTAGTTTCTCTATTTTTCTCTTCTGATTAAATCTATCTTAGCTTTAACTTTATCTAAGATTATGATTACTATCCTTACTTTTTTCTATAATAAATTCTACTCATGATCTTTATTTTATGATTGTATTTATCTCCTATTTCCTATCCCTCCTGACTCCTCTACTTTAGCTGCTACCTAGCTGTCCTATTACTTATTGTCCCCCCACCTAAGATCCTTCCCTTATCCTCTCCCCCACCCTAAAATCTCTTCCTTATCCTCTCCCCCTCCCTATCCCCTAAGCCTTTTATTTCTTTCTAAATTTATAAGACTTTTATGACCTTCTAGATATATATGTATTTTTTCCTTTTCACCGATTCCCAATGAGAGTAGAGTTCCAGAACTATCAGCCCTCCTCCCCCATCTAATTCCTCTGTGTCAATTCTTCCTCTCATACCTCATTTGTATAAAATAATTACTCTTTTTCTCTCTTTCTAAATGGTTTACTTTTTAGTGTTGCATATATCCAACTCTACCCCAATTTTTCCTCCAAAGTATCCAATTACTAATAACAATTAGGCATATGATTTATATTTCCTTGTATAAAAAGTGAATAGTCTATCTTTACTGAATCCTTTGTAATTAGTCTTTGATGTTTACCTTATATTTCTCTTGGACCTTGTATGTCAAATTTTCTATTGATTTCAGGTCTTTTCACAACAAAATTCTGAAAGTATGACAATTCGTTGAAATAACCAATTTTTTTCATTCAGGATTATGCTTAACTTTGCAGGGTACGATATTTTTGACCACAACCCCAGTTCTTTTGCTCTTTGATATATAGTGTTCCAAGATCTGCAGTCTTTTAGTGTAGCCATTGCTAGGTCTTGTGTGATTCTAATTGTGGCTCCACTGTATTTGAATTGTTTTTTCTTGTTGCTCACAATATTTTGTCCTTGAGTGGGGGAAGGGAGGGGGGGGTTCAGAATCTAGCCTCATCCAAATTTTATCACCTCAGAAATCCTATAAGCCTCATCTCTGTGAACCTTGCCTAGCCTCCATCTTCTGGCTACTTGCCCTAAAGCCATGCAGAGAGAGAAAGGTCTGACTTCACATAGCCCAATTAGGAGCACCAGGGCAGAAATTGTAGCTGTAATCTAGATATTACTGTAGGTTTTCTTTGTAGAATCTCTTTCAGGTGGTGATTGGTAGATTTTTTCTATTTCCACTTTCCCCTCTTGTTCTAATACTTCAGAATGATTTTGTTTAATTATTTATTGTATTATTGTATCAAGATTCTTTTTTTTTTATTGTAGCTTTGAGGTAGTCTGATTATTATTCTTACATTTTCTCTTCTTGATCTGTTCTCCCGATCAGTTGTTTTTCTTAAGAGATGTTTCACTTTCTCTTCTATTTTTTCATTCTTTATATTTTGTTTTGTTATTTCTTGGTCTCTTATAACTTTCCTGGCTTACCTTCTAATTTTTAAGGAGTCATTTTTCCTTAGGATTCTGGATCTTCTTTTCTAGTTGGTTTACTTTCTTTTCATAATGTATTTGTTTTTCTTGAATTGTTCATTTTTTAAAAAAAATTCCTCAATCTCTCTGATTTTTAAAGTCTTTTTAAAGTTCTTCTATGAATTCTTTTTGGGCAGGTAACCATTTGACATTACTCTTCGGGGTAGGAAAAAGCTTTTTTTGCTTCAGTACCTTCCTCTGAAGATGAACCCTGGTCTATTCTCATATTAACTTTCTATGGTTGGGTTCTTTCTCTTTTACCTGCTCATTTTCTAAAAAAAAATTACAGCCATTTGTTATTGTAATCACCTCTAGTCCTGGGATGTGGGGGATGGTGTCTCTGGCCTCAGATCCTTCTTCAGTTCTCCCCTCTGACCTGGAACTGAAACCAAGAACTCCACCCTCCTGCAAGTGCCCACAGCCCGTGGGGTCCCCACCCCATTGCTTCTGCACTCAGCAGGCAGGTGTTTGTTCCTTCTTGCCCAGGGCTGCATCTCCACAGCACAGCTAGGGTTGGTGTCCCTTATCAGGAGAGGTTCCCTCAATCTTCCCTCGATCAGACACCCAACTCCCCATGCTGTCTAGCAGGTGAAAATTCCTGTGGCTGAGGTGGAGGTTACCTCAGCTATCCCTAGGGCTCCCACTGTTTCAGCAAGAACTAACCTGAAGGTGTTTACACTTCACAGGGACTAAATCTTGGTCCTGGGATTTTTCTTCCAGTTGTCTCAGGAGGACCACTGTTCTGCCCCAACTCTTGTTTGTTTTTACCAATCTATATTTGCCCTGAGGTGCTGTTTTGTCTTGTTTGTGGGGGAAATCTGGAGAGCTTGGAATTTTCTGACCTACTCCTCCATCTTCCCCTCTTACCAATATTAAATGGTAAAAGTCACAATTTAAAAATAAGCCTTTTTACTCTTGATCTAGCTTTCTTTAGAGCTGGTCTAAAAGCAAGGTGCCATTTTGATTGGAGACAAAGGAATGGGTTGTTTCAACTCTGTGCTTGTTGAAGGAAACAGGCCTCCTCACATTAAGTCTTCATCTGTGTGTTTGGTGAGAGCTGAATCTTCCTGGCAGAGTGTAGTGTTCATAGACCACAATAAGGGAAGTTGGTGATAAGCTTAATTAGCAGAAAACTGAGTGAAGACTTGGCAGCATTGCAGAAAAAGCTGGCCTGTTTTGCTTCCCTTAGTTTTAACTTCAAATTGTCATCGTGCAGAAATCAATCAACTCATAAATCCCTAGAGGGCACCTTATCTAGCCTCTTGCCTACTGGATATTGGGTGGCCAACGCTGAACTATCCTGATCAGAAGGTTTTCTAGGGAAGGACCAGCCATTGCCACTCTTGTTCCTTATCCTAGAACCTCCCATCCCAGGTGTCTAGGAAATCCTCTATCAAAGTCCAACCTAAGAACCATTTCCTTTCTCCAGCTATGATCTAATCTGACTCCTTTTAGTTTTAGATCATTGCTATTCCCTCAATTCTGTCCTGTTGAAGATAGTTTTAAGTTTTGCTGTAGGGGGCGAAGGAGAAGATTCTATCTCCAAAAAAATTTCTTTGCTCTTCATTTGTTCTCTCTCCCCATTGCACTGTCATTACAGAGAGCATCCCTAGCAAGAGTGAATGATATTTGCTGTATTTTTCTTTTGTTCTGTTTTTCTCTTTGGGCCTGTTATTGCTTTTACTTCTTC